CGTCGCCGAACTGCGCCCAAGATTTGAGAGCATCGCCGGAAATCCCTCAAAGGCGAAAACTCCCCTTGTAGGGGGCGATCATAGTAAGAAGACTTGAAAAAACATTTCACCCACTTCTTAATCAATCAACGATTCTCATAAGAAACAATGAGAATAAAATGAACAGCAAGCCGAAGGAGGAAGCGGAGTAAAAGCGGATAGAAAAGGGATACATAGAGGATTCGGAACCATATCCATCGCCGACGCATTCTCATGAGTTCCTTCTTTTTTATGATTCTAACCTGACCAAGAAACCAGTAAATAAAAGAAATCGAAGCTGCGATTCATTCATGGGAAAGTTCAGAAAAAAATCATGGCTAATTGCCCTTTTATTAGGGTGGGAGGGGGCAACTACAGTCAACTATTCCATTCATTATTATATGTAGCCGACACTATTCTACATCGTCACTTGAAAAAAAAAACTACTGCTGAGCAGAGAAATTCTTGAAGAGGGCTTCATTCAGCCCGCGGTGTCGTTCGCTCATCATTTATTCATTAATGCGCTATAAAAATGCATCCGCATGCGACGAATTCACCTTCGGACATAATTTTTACATTCCTACTGAAACTCGATGTTTTTATACCATCAGGCTAAACTGACTTCTCAATTACCCTAGCTTTTTTTTATCGCCCCAATGAAGTTATAAGTTCCTTCAAAACTCTCAAACGTTTGTCAACAATGGTGATGGAAGCGCAAGAGCTGCTCGTTTTCTTCATTAAACCGATGACATCAGGAAGGTGAGCGAGCACTATTACACTAATCACCGTGAAACACCGCCAATCACTGTTACGATCGAAGACAATCGCATGTATCACCAGTGATATTACTGAGCACATTGATCGAACAATAATCGGCTGTCAAGGAAGAATTCTCAAATGACAACATCGGCGCCAAGCCAAAGGGTTACGGTAAAAGAGGTGTGCCTCAATGCTCAACCGGTTTTCAGCCAATCGCATTCGCTCTGCTCATTGTCATCTCATCGAGCACGTAGCCTATTTCTGAAGTTTCTTAGCAACGAACGTTCAACACTTAATCGATTTTTCAGCAAATTCGACTAGTGCCGTTCGTGGATGAGTTGGATTCAGCTATAGCCGCCTTGCCCATTCTCCATTGCGGCATATCCCTTATTCCTTTGACGTCGCTTCAGATGTGCAAAACATCAGCTTCCTGTCGCAGAAAAGACACACACTTGTAAATAATTGAGCAGGTAGCCAAGAAAGGGGGCGGGGCAATATCGACCGTTGATTGATTGTCGTTAGTTGCAGAACAACCACGCCCCGTCCACTCGCCAGCCGGATTCGCTAGCTCACGCATCTACTCACGTTCAACTGAAACTCATCTCAAATTCGGCTACACTCCATCAATAACCCACCTAATTCCTTTTTTTACCGTACTCATGTGCTCATCGAAACCCTTCTGAAAACCCTGCTGTTCAAAATCAATTAGGAGACCGTACCTATGTTGGGTCATAATCCCAACACGGTCTATCAAATCACTAATTATTACAATGATAAGGTGCAGGTTCGTAAGAACCATGTGCACAAATCCGTCTATCGGATCGCCAAAGTCGTGCAGGACGTGTTGAAGGACGTCGAGAGCCAAGAACCACGATTCATTTCGACTTTAGTTGAAAGCAATGGACGATATGACGGGGTTGGTCTCGCTAATACTTTAATACCTCTATTCTTGAACATTTTACTGCTCACTTCTTCATAAAAATTAAATGACAGTTTCTACTCTTAGACTCTTTTCCAGCTGATCGTTCATTCTCCCCATGAATATGAAGCTATTCTCTATTTGAATCAAATGGGTGTGTTCAATTTCGTCGACGACGGTTCCATCCAAGGATGTGCAGTGCTCAAACTGAGCGATGGACGGAAACGATCAATGTCGCTGTGGGTCGAGTTTATCACAGCCAGCGGCTACCTGTCGGCTAGGAAAATTCGCAGCAGATTTCAGACACTTGTTGGACAAGTAGTTGAGAAACCTCCTTTTCGGTTAGTTTCGCAATAACTACTTACTGGCCCTACAAAGCTTCAAAATTCCCTTTGTTTTCCAGTGATTACTGTAAACTTCTTACTGACACCAGCGACGTTCGTTTACGAGTTGACGACAAATATGTCGTTCAAATCACGTGCGCCTTCAGATGTAACGGAATTTGGCCACGTTCTGCCAGCCATTGGCCGAACAACGCCATTCCATGGCCTAATCCAGCCATTGCTGCCGAGGTAAGCATCGAACAGGGAGGATTAGTGTTCGGAAGTAAAACTCTTGGACTAAGGTGAAAAACGAGGGCTTTGATCTGACAAGTCGTGAAACGGGTGCAGTCTCGGCTCAGCAAAACAAGCAGGCTAGCTCAATGGAAGGAGACGCCTGGGCAATGAATCTCACTGGAGCAGAAAACGTACTTCTAGGTGGGTTCAGTGTGCTTCTTTCGTTCTCAGAATCTTGAGCCTCACAATCTTAATCTCCCATTTTAGCCGGTAATCGACGGAAAACGCTTAGCATTTTAAAGTGCCTACGCGACACACATCTCGACTTCCCCGGCACCCCTATTACTAACTATATTCTGAAGACTCTAATGCTATACGAGTGCGAGAAGCACTGTAACGATTACGAATGGGAGGATAACTGTATTGGAGACAGAATAATCGGTGAGTCTATCGAATTAAGTGCTACCAGCTATCGGCCATAATGGTGTAGAATTCAGTATATATTTTGCATTTCATCTGATTCTCATCTTGTCTTTCTGCCTGAGTGCTTTTCTTCCTGGGCGAAAATTCTCCTTCCTGGACAAGTCAAGTACACCATTTCTTCTAATACGTTCCCTGTGGAAAACACAGGCCCCAAACTGGACTGATAAACAGGATATTACAAGAGGACGGAAGGCCTATAAGTAAGACATCAAGAAGCACCACTAAACCACAGAACGACTTTCGCTGGCTCCCAGGTGACAGTACCACCGTTTGACGGACGAGGTTTTCCAGTCCTTCTCCAGTGTTTTTCGATCAAAGACAACGTTTCACAGCGACAGTTGCTCTGAAGACGAGCGATTGATCGCAGGCTGACAGAGCGATGCCTTCACTTGTTGCCATTGTCAATACCGAATATCTATTTGAAGGGGTGTTTTTGAAGTAGTGCGCAATAGAGTCGAGTCAGCCGAGTCAGAACATTAGTGGCGTGTCATTGCGCATCAATTTATTGCTTTCGACAGCCCATTCCACAGCACAAGGGCATCAACACCAAGAAATAGCCGTCGACGCCGCTACTGCGTCGTTACTGCCGGCCGCCTTTTCTTCGGCACAGAGGCAATGTTGTAGTGAGCAAAAGAGAAAAGGAATTAGAAAAAGGAATCATCGACAAATGAAAGAGAAAGTGTGGGTATGGCATTACTCTCAGCAGCTCTTAATTTTTGTACCTCTCCCTTCTCACAGTACGTCTCACTGAAAAAAGATGGGCACAGTTTGGCACAGTATTTTGTGAACTCGCATAAACCCCCGCAAAGCTTGCAAAGCTATAGAATGCTGCGAGTTTCTAACTATTTGTTGCTTAACTACCTCACAAATTTCGAACCCCTCCAGACAGCTTCGCCTGATTTTGCTGCAGCACCCGTCTGTACTACATCCACCCCCCCTCACCTCTGATTAGCTGATTAGGTGCATGAGCTTCGCCTGAGGCAGGGACGATACGAACCACCCAAATTTTCCACGTTTCATTTTTTGAAGTGTTCACCTGAAAGGATTTGTTTCTGCCTTATTTTACTGAGCGTCGCTCAGTAAAATAAGGCAGAAACAAATCCTTCAGGTGATTTAAATCTCACTTTCCCACAGTTGTTTCTTCGCAGGTTCCTACACCGTCTATCTTCAGGAAAAGCAAAAAATAAAGCGTGGAAACGAAGTCGCTACCATTTTGCTGGTTTCCAAAAGCTGGCAAATCTCCACGAAGTAGCTCGGGGCACTCGTACTATTCCTCAGTTTTACAGTGATCTACAGGTCTCCACAAAAAGGTTCGGCATATTGACAGCAACGAACTAAATGCCCCTCCTCACCCTTAAGCCGACGTGCGCGCAAACATGATCGAAACAGATGACAGGGCATATCAATGGCTGGGGATTTCGGTCGAGTCCATACGACCCCCCCCCTAAGAGTTCACTTGATACAACCCTTTCCTGGTTCCCTCCTCTGATACCGTCGAGCTGTCAGTGGAGGGGTGGATGAGGGAATCGCATATGCGGAACGGGAAAAGTCAACAACCGTGAGAAATTTTTCCCAACGCCACAAATATCTCTCAGAAGGCGAACAGACCCCCCTCTCCCAAGAACCAGCAATTACAACCCCCTCCCAGCGTCCGTGAAAGAAGAAAAATCAACTATCAGAAAAATTTTCTCAGACCAACTACAACCCCCTCTCCCTGTACGGGAATCCCCAACGAGTACTGCCCTGACAAACGATCGAGAGTTCTGTTCCGTTATGAGCTTCCGACTTTTTGAAATGAAACTTCATCGCTCAGTAAAGACACACGGAATCATCATCCTTCCTTCCCTCCAGACAGATCCGCATTTTTTGTATTTTTCTCATACCAAAGAGAAACCGGGAAAATCCTTGCCTTATTTTCAAACTCATGCGCAAAACTCCTTGTCGAATTTGCTAACGTACACTCGCATGTGACACTACTGCTACTATACGGCAACGTAGCGCTAACTTCATAATACGATTAGACCATATCTCGTTTTGCAATTATTCACGCCTAAACGTTGTCGATCGCTTCTGTCTTGGCAGTGTTACGACTAACAAGGGGACTAGTATTGTGCTTGTAACGTACAGTAAGCGAACAAGGACGTGATTTTCAGGCGTTCTTCTGCAGCTGGTAAGTTGTCTTCAATGTCGTCGATGTGCGCACTATTTCTTACCACAACTCGATCTGCTGAGAGGAAAACCTCATCATTTACTCGATCAAAGTTCCAAAATGGCATGGAACCTTGTTCGCCAGTTAATGCTCAATGCTCGTGCCCTCGAAACGTTGTAGTAGTCAATTGTGCTCGTTCATTTTTTCTATTCATTATTTCTATTTTTTTTTGAGTTCACAACTTCTCCAACCTGGAAAGGGATTAGATAATCCAGTTTGATTTGTTCAGTCATCTATTTCGTGCTTTCATTATTTTCCACCTAATTTTATTCTAATTATGGCCATCAATATTACATTCGGGTAGGCCTAATCTATATTACCAGCCACCTCAAATCGTCGCTTACTCAAGCCGAGTTGCCAATTTGAGCCTGGTTCTAGTTCCTATTTTTGGCCAAATCTGTCCTTCTCTTCAAACGGCCAGCAGTACGAGTCATTATTTCATGTGTTTCTCGGTGTTTCTGAATGAATTATGAACAAACATACCTTTGGATCTTGTTTTTTGTACAATGGATTCTCCTCATCAGCATCGAAGAATAAGTCGGTTGCTGTAATCGATAGAGTGCCTGGTACTACTATTCCTGGTGCTATCAGCTTAGCCGAGGTACTGTAGCTGGTTACTTCTGAAAAGAGCTCAGTTGTTCAGCATATTCGATTGCCTCGCTACTTAGCTAATTCAATTCCGTGCATTGAACGAGATTCAGGTGGACTCATTCCTTTGAGTTTTTTTCTTTGGCGACTTGCCCATCAGGCCATGCGGCGCGCTCGCGCTACTACCGTAGCAACAAGGTGTTCGCGGGGGGTCGGCTGCAGCCATCTGGCGCTGTCCTCGTTCTCGAACGCCCTACGACGACAGCTTTTGATGGGAAACGATTGGCATAATAAGATGTAATGCGAGCATCGTTAGTAATTGGTGCTTGTTGGGGCCGACCATGTCGTATGACATACGACTTGGGCAATCATAAGCCCTCCGTCCACCTCGTCAAGAACCTCCGGAAAAAAACACGGAGCGAACGCGCTCGGAGGCGGAGGAGATTATGTGAGGGACGGCACTGGCTTAGGGGATGGTGGACAGAGCGGCTTTAGTAGTGATCGACATGAGACTTTAGTTAAAGACTCGCGCTCATCGCCAATGAACGCTGCGAGGGAACGAGGTAACAGTAAGCTCTACCCACTCTTTGAAAACAAGGTGCAATATTCAAGTTTTCAATTAATACAGCATCGAACCCCAGAAAGAAATTTTTCACCTCGAAAGAGTTGATCTTTTCCTTTGTTCTTCGCAAAAGAGCAAGATTCCCATTAGAAAGTTCTGTGAAAAAAAAAGTTCTAGAAGGAATGGCTGACTTCTGCAATAAGAAAGAGGTGACCCTCATTCCTTCCCTTCTCCTACTGCTTTTGCTCCTTCGAAGGGAAAAGGCACGATAAATCCCGAAGACGTGTAGGAGTAATACGCATAGCAGGACAGAATTCATCCCCTCCCCCACCACCTAAGCAGGGCTGCACTGCACGACGCAGCTGGTGCCTTCCAAAGGGGCACCCTCATAGCGCCCGAAATCGCGTCCTGAATCGCGCAGAACAAAGGCACTTGGCTTTTTCGCCATTTTCCCCATGATATAAACCCTGCTACCATTTTAAACCATGTACTAAATTGTCGTGCCTTATACATTCAATGTGACCGAACATTCGCCCCAGCTGGGCTCAGAGCATCGACTGCCATGAAAATAAAACGCGCAGGAACTAACACTATCACTGAATGTCTTGTCCTTACAAGCCATACAGTGATGAACACCACTTTAGCTCAACATAAAGGTGATATGCTCAAGGGAAAGGGGCAGAGCAGGATGACAAATAGATTACCAGCGAAAAATAGTTCTGGGTTCCCGACAGCGAATTCCATGCATTGAAATGTAGAAAAGTCCAGGAACTTGGACACCAAACTCATTAGACTCCCGTTGGACATCCAACAGAGTTTGAAAAAGCCATCTGTTTGGAAGAGTTCTATGACAGAAGTTACTTTCTAACCCCGGCAAGCTCGCCCTGGTGAAGCCTTCCCAGTCGTTATGCACCAGTTCGAGAGGGCATAAATGTCGACCAGTACGAGAGGGCATAAATTCAGGAGGCGATGAGCCAGAAATCGTACATTCGGAGCTTCACAGTTCAGGATTGGAGCTTCACAGTTCACGACAACCCTTAAGCCGGCCACAGGAGTTTTTGACGCTGCGAGGGGCGGGGAGGAGGGGGTCTCTGCACTTCTGCTACTTCCTATCGACATGTCGAGACACCTAGAGAAAGCTACTTCACGAGCTTACAGGGTTGATAGGTTCTACCATGGTGGCTCGACGAGCTTGCTCCAATTTCCATGCCCCCCCCCACTTCACACACACCCTGTCGCCAAACTTAGTCGAATTTCGTTTTTGCACGTGCAATATTCTAGAAAATGCTAGCGGACCATTTGCAGCTTCATTGAATTGGAGATCAATGAATGCAGGAGATCAATGAATGCACTAATATAAGAGAAGCGATTTCTTCGGCTTCTTTCAAATGTTACTCGCTACTGTATAAGAACACAGGGGCACAGCTCACATTGTAGCCGCGGAATGACTCGTACACTGTTCATCAATCACGACCGCGCAGATAGTTGTCATTGCAATTACTAATCTTCAACAACTTCTAATCACACGCAGCTTTTCTAGTCCCGCTGACTTACACCACGAATATTACTGTAAGACGATAATACTGTAGATAACTGCAGATATGGCTAGCGTGCCAACATGTTTTCTGAGCCTGAGGTGTTTCAAGAAGACGCTGCCGCTCACTTTGGAAACTCCTTCAAAAACCTGCAGCCTATTTTTTCTCAAGATTTATGGTCCTTTTTCTAAAAAGTGAGGCTGTGCAGAAAAAAAATCGCAAGAGACTTCCATGGAACGGGGGATGAGTACGCGCACTACACTCCTAATAGGCCGTTCTTCAGAAATATTGCTGAAAATGCGGCACCCACAAAAACAAGTATAATCTCTGAGGGTGTCAAGCTCCTAACCTTTTGAAGAACTCCGTCAGGCTAGGGTGCCACAAAACAAGGCTCCAGTGCAACTAATGCCAGTGCCACAAAGTCACGCCAAAATGCTACTGTTGAAATTTCTCTGGGCGATCATACGATTGCCGCAGGATTTAAGAGACAAGAGAACAGGTCGTGAATTGATGAGAAGAACAGCCGCAGGATGGATTACACGAACATTACAGCAGCACCCAATCACAAACCATCAAGCAAGATTTAACGAAATCGAATCCGCAATCGACACCCCGGCAAAAATTAGAGTTCGAGGGGATGATGAAGGTTGTCCTTAGCTTTGTCTAAAAAATTCGGCTGAACAGACGAAATTCCTTCAAAATCTCAGCTGAATCCTTCTCATCTAATGTAAGTGCAAAACTCGCATCCTTCTGTTAGCCAGAACTCCCTTCTGCCTTCTGAACAGTTCCGGAACAGCCAGTGTGGAGTGCAAGGAAAACCCAGCCGATTATAAAGACTCACACAGATTTTTGAATAACAATTTTGACTGGCACAGCCTCATTCTCTTTTTCACACAAGCACTGCGCATTACGGTCAGCACAGATCATTAAATGACCGTCTCCATAGAGCATTATGCGGAACCCCCTAATTGCTCTCATCAATGGTATTACCGTAATGGTGGTGATGGCGCTAATGTACACCACAGCAGTCACGCCAGACACTGCGGCTCGAATTCATCCGCTGCGGGTCACGCACGATCAACTGTATATTATTGGTTCTACACCCATCCACCCCCCGAAAATCCTGTCTGTAGCCTCCACCTGGCATGGGGTGTAACGGTTTCAAAGGGGTCAATTCATAGATAGCGAAAAGCCCCATGTAAAAGTATACTGGATATGGGCCTATGTCCCGTGAACTTGGAAAGACCAGCCGACAGGGCGCTGGTTTGGGCTCCCCGAGGGCTGCAAGAATCTTAGGACGCCATCCGTGTGGCCTAAAGGGATGTTTAGAGGGATGCCACGGGAACATTCAGAACAGTGTTTTGGTCAATTAAAATACTTTACAACATTTGTGTTCAGCTGAATGCAGACATCTCAACGTAGCCAGAACAAAGTAAGGCGGGACTGCGGTTCGTCTTACTAACAATATGCAGATCTTCTTGTGCTACCGTACAGTATCAAGACGTGGAATGAACAAAGTTTGCATGTACCGTGTTTTTACATGGACGACGAATCTCGATCAGCTTGGGTCTCACAGGGAGATCGTTCAGGCGTGTGAGCTTTCACAATGGTCTTCGTGCATATTGTAGCGGTCACATACGAGTCAGAAAAGACTGTGAGGTGTCTATTCTCGTCCTATGGCGCGCCTGTCTTACGAATAAAAAAAAACACGTAAAAAATAGTCGATGGCTTCGGATCCCACCACGCAAATTTTGCTTTTCCTACAATTTTTTATTTTTTAGGGGCTCCCGCCCATGTTTTCATAAACACTTTGTCCTAACAAACAACATCACCCAGGAAGTCTTAACGACTATCCCTACTTTTTAATCAGGAGCATATTAGCTAGCTTTTTCTTAATTACAAAATGCGTTAGTATGCACAGACTCAGCTCATTCGTCGCTGTAACCGCGTTTGTGCGAGATGGCACTGCGATAACCGAAAATCAAAAGTCTAAGAATCGTGAATCAGGAACTTACGATTACCCCTACGATCTAGTTTTTGAGCGAAAAAATTTTTTTTTGACTTTTCGGATGTAGGGGAACCTGACCATGCACTTGAGTGCAGTGTGAGCGAGTTCACTCTTCGTAAAGCGATGGACGTTCTCGATGACGCACTACGGACGCCCTGGAACAAACCAGTAAAGGCAAACGCCAGGAAGGTCAATAAACAATGTTTTGACCGAAAATCCGTTTTTAGTGGGAATCAGTGGCCCTGATCACAAATAGAACACCTATTCTTGGCGTCCACGCAATTTGGCTCCAGAATAGCGATTCAATAATCCCTATTATTGACTGTTATAACGAATTCAGTGGGATGAAGATGTGGCTCCAAATTGTCTATGATTGAAACCACATCAGAAGTTACTAAATTCGCAATCAGATCCACTGTCTAGCCTATGGGATCAACGTCCAGCAACAATCTTGTTCAAAGGTGCGTGAAAATCGGAGTAGTTGAATAGCACTGTCTCAATTGAGGAACTGAACTAGCTACTTAACAAATTTGCCACAAATGGCACAATATCCGAGTTGTATTGCATGCGCAGAACATGTCCAGCCATGGAGCGAGAACCCGCTGAATCTAAAAAAGCAAAATTGACTATATGCCGTCTAAAATTCCTAAACCCCTCTCGCGAGCGGAAGGGGACGCCTGATAACATAAACCCACCTCTCACTGTCCGATTGCGAAACCTCCACTCTATCCACTAGGCCATCCGATGCTCGAGTCTGCGTAGTGCTCTAATCGTTGATGAAACCATGCAAGAAGCCGTTCACACTGAGCCTTGAGCATGTGACCCAAGTTGGACACTCAAATTGCGGCGCCATTTTTCGCTTCATTCCATTAGTCCCTTATAAAACCCCCCATCCGAACTGTCACATTGGCAAGTAGCCTACATCCGTATTAGAGGCCGTCAGAACGAAGCAGATTTCGAAAGAACAAATTTCTTTTCACTCGTTTTTTTACCTTTCCTGGAAGCGCGCAGCGAAAAACGAAACCACACTTTTCAGGTCCTCGCACGAGCCCCTACAATATGCGCAAAACCGTGATTTTTGAAAAGCGCACTCAACGCCCATGATCACCTCCCTTGTCAGTGAAGCGGCGAACAACATTTCGCATAATCTTCGGCTTGTGATCAAGCCACCAATCTAAAACGCAAGTTTTTTTTTTCACGGCATACAAATACTATACGATTCAAGTCAAAGGAAACAAATCATGGTCGCACTGCGTTCCAATGAATGTGCGCCCTATGTAGCGCTCGGCTTCGTGGCTGTAGACTCCGTACGTCAATCTGTTATTCACAGAAACATTCATTCCTCAGTCTACCTGAGCAGAAGCCTAAATGTTAGACCGAAGTTCGGAATTTAACATATCTAAAGAAACTATGGGAGGATAGCCGGCTCGTACTTCCAAAAGCAAACAGCGCGATACCGTCTGCCGCTCGCTTGCAACATCCACTAATTCACCGTTTCTTCGCCACCCAAAGCTAATACTAAATATAGTCAAAGCAAAATACGGAAAAAGCGACAGTCTAAAAACTGCCCAGCCCATTTGAGAAGTAGCGGCGTCAGAAACTCCATTATGAGGAACGCCCGCCTGCGCCACCACTTTACTGTCAAGCCAGCAGAGATAAGGACCCGTACTACGCAGTGCTTGAGTGCTGGCGGGACTCGCTTCGCTCAACGCTTCCCTTCAACATGTAAAAAAGAAGCCCAGGGCAAACAGAATAAATTTGGGACTATGCAACTAATCCTAACACGAACAACCGTCTCCTGGACACCAATTGGGCATTACACCGCATTTCGAGACGATACTGGACAGTATGAGCGTCTACTATGACCCTAATGAGCTTCCGACCCTAATGAAGCTGCAGCCTCTCGCGAAACCAGATCCTTCGGAGTCTAGGAGGGCAGAAGGCACTCTCGATACCGTATGGATTACAGAAGCTATAAAAGCTGAGGGCTGTCTATTTGTTGAAAGCTGAGGACTGTCTATTTGTCTCACACTATTTCACCCTAGGTAATCTGATCGCTGTGTAGATGCCTGTTTGACTCTGTTCCTTCTGACTGAAGCCAGATGGTTGAACGATTCTCCCTCATCTACCCCGCACTACGGAATGCTCCTTTAGACTACAAATGGTTTCTAAAATTCAACCCGTCACCTGGACGAGGAATGCCTGAGATCTCTTTCGCCAAGATTCGCTTGGTATCTATGAGGTCAGAAAATCACGAATGTCGATGTACCTGGTTCTATATGCATGGGCAATGATTTCTCTACACGAAACGTTTGTCAAGACTTCCCGGCCAAGCTAATGAATTTGAAGATTTCAAAGAAAAGTTTGGCATTACAGTACTAGAAGCCGATACTTATCGCTCTCCTTCGAGATCTTCTGCCACCCAACCAATATACTCTACTCGTTTCTGATTTCCATCTGAATACGAATCTCAAGAAAGGCAGAAAATCGTATGCAAGACAAAAAGTCTCCGACCAGTCGTCATTGACGGCATTTTTCTAAACTCATTCGCCCCTAGTCAAGTTGATTAAAGGCGACAAATACGGTACGTTTTAGAGGACATACGACCTAGGCAGAGGACATGAACGGTATGGGCGGGCCGCGAATGGCACGCGAAACAATGAGGTAATAAAAGTGCGAGTTTCGATATAATCGCTGGTCATCAATGTTGAAAGATACAGATCTCCACACCAAACAAGACAGCCCGTCAACGCTTTCTACTTGAGCGGACAAATTGAGACAAATAGCACGGAAGGGAAAGACGGACTGCTAGGATCAAGCAAGGGATTGCTTTTTCATCACAACTCTTCACAGCTAACGAGAGCTATACGTAGTTTGGGTCTGGTCAGAGAGACAGTAAGCTAGTTCTAGGGTTCAAAATCACCCTAGCAGGGAGCAAAATAGGAGGACGAAAGCATGGATTAAAAGATTTAATGTAAATCTCGAAGCATTTTTCATTCGACTGGTCTATCAGGCGGAAATGATATATTCTGCACTCTCCCAGTCTGGAACTGGTAACTGATGTTCTTCTAATAATGAACACTGCCGTCAAATGTATGACTAAAAATGCGTTTCCAGAAAAAGGTGCACACATGGGCCAACCCTACGTCGTTTACCGTTAACACGAAGGTCAATGAATAAAGAGCGAAGCAAATCAAAACGCGCTAGAAAGAATTCCGAAAAATATAGACAAAGAGCGGACGAAATTTGCGAAGTTAAAAGTACACTCAGCTCCGCGAACCCTGATCCATGTTGTACCCAAGGTGAAACGGACCGCAGCTGCAGTACCGTAACGTTTTCGCCGGTAAAAAGCGCACGAGAACGGGCCTGGAAGGCAGGGGTTCCGTGAGAACCAAAACTTTTGGTTAGGGTCCTGCTGCGAAGAGCCAGAGCGCAGAGAACTGCGGCTGCCAGGGCATTGAGAGGTACAAAAAACATGTCGCGAACTAAGAAATGAGTTTTTTAAAGGGAAAGGCCGGGGTGAATAGGCCACTTATTATGCGTAGAAAGTTGGAATGTGAAACGTCAGAGTGGTCACAAAACGCCATGAGGAAGAAGGCCGCTGAGAGAAACAGAAAATTGACGTCGTTAAAGGGATTGAGTGTTAGTTATCCGTAGACCGACGGCAGCGCGTACCCCGGCTACGGTCTGCACTCTGCCCGCGACACCTCAACCATAGCCAGACGCGCTATTTGTCTGCGCCCTCTTAAATCGGATTGTTCTCTACCGCTGAGTGGAATGTATCGCTGTGAATGTGGGCATCAGTGGGTTATATGCTGCACCATTGAGGGACAGCAAGCATGAAGTATCAAGTATCGAGACACCACCCAGTATTATTACCCTCCAGCCTCGTTTACAACCTTTCGAGAGCAGTCGTGGATCATTCACGTTGCACATGGAAAGAACCGCGCTCGAAAGGAGTGAGCAGTTTTTCTTTAAACGCATTGGCACGATAAATCTCCAAAGCGTGCAGGATCAATACGCTTAGCTGGACCGAGCTTGGTGCTCTTGAGCAAGGGTTGCGTGGCGCCTCTTTTAAAGAAAGGTACCCTTGTAGCGCTCATCAAGCTGCAACATACCGACCCTTACGCCCATCGCGCCCGCCCGCCCACAAATATCCGACCGGTGCTGTTGCTCCTATCGCTCCATTTGCGAACTACAACATGAAGCCAAGGGATTTGATAAAGCAGCCGCGGTTTCTTCATGGTAGAGATCACATCATTGCAGGCGAAATCTACCGTAGCGGTGATTGCCGGTAATGGTCATGCCAAGAACGGAAACTCTACTGTTGCTTTCCAGCCGTCTAGAACAAAGCTCAGCGTTTCTTGCACTTTCAAGTTCTTTCGTTCCGTTTTTTCACCATTTTTCCAGCATGCAACTGCCCAGTAATCGTGGCTTTATGCCATTGAAGCTAAAGTATTCTCGTTGCAAAGTGATTTGCAATGAAAAAGGCGACGCATTTTACCAGGAAGATCAAACTATCAGTTGGTCGTTTTTTCCGCTTGCAGTTCAACACGAAGGACCAACGAGTTGCGAATACACATCTATAATAATTGCTTCCCACTCCCAAATAAATCGCTTTTTGGAAAAGGGCCTTTTGCTTGGATAAACGCATAACATTCCTCAAGGCTCCCTCAGCCCAATGCGATTTATCCAGATCACGGATTGCTGCTCGAATATCTTTGCTCTGAAGGAATAACTCTAAACAATGTCGAAACATACCGCTACTAGGAGTAGGATCAATTTCGGCGGCCCATTTGTCTATGTCACTTTCATCAACCAGCTCCGAAGATTGACTGCGTCCCGGCACAATGCTGAAAAACGTTCGAATAGTTATAAATATTTCTATGAGGAAGCATGAGTACTTTAAAGAGCTCCCACGATCAAGCGGCCCGCGAAATGCCTCAGTGCATTTGGCATCGCTTGTCCGCGTTCGCAAAAAATATACCAGTTTCGACACTCGAAACGGCGAAATAAGGAAGCTGAAGACGCGTGATTATTGCAACCACGATCACTTTCACTCTACAGGACAACGGATTACAAGCGGAATTGCATGTGTGCACAGCGCTGCCTGGAGCGACGTAGGGTGATTTCCCGTTTTTAACGGGAACTGGGTGCACGTCAAATACTGCTGATTGAGCTTCCTGATGTCCGACAAACTCGTCCAAGGTGCCCACTGCTAAGGGGTCTCTGTTCAGGATGTTGCCAAGGTTTTTTGCTTCTCTCTCCTGGGGAGTTACTTATAGGCTACTGGTTCATGACTGAGCACCTACTACTCGGAACACTTGATCGCGGAAATTGTCTTGAATGAAATTTAAGGTCTCAGGTAAATTGTTAAATAAATCGAAGCAATCTCAGACCTGTTCGCGAGAGCTCTCAATTTCTCCTCCTCACTCATTTCTTGAGCTTCAGACGGCACACTGATCACACTAGCTTCTTCGTGTCTTGAACCGAATACGTTTGGAACAAAACGACGTCTTCGACGACTGTCATCTTCCCAGACATCCAAGCGCCAGAATAGCTGCCTGAAACTAAGCGTGAATAGAAAGTAGAAGAAAAAAATTAATCCAAGCCGAGTGATACCAACGTGGTTTCATCTCCTGAACTCCATGCTCCACTAGGACTGCATAGTACTGTCATCATGTTTCCCAGTAACTTTGCGGCCAGACGACCATCCCTTCGTCGTCCGTTTCGAATTGCTTGTGCCCATCGCGCTTCTTCTTCGCACCGCACCTCTAGATTCGCCATTGTTTCACTCTGAAAACGCAGCATTTACGAGTAGAAGCTTCCAAATTTCCCTCCGGAAATAAAAATTATGGTAGAAATACGTGATAACTGTACCTCGAAATGAGCATGCTTGCTGACATCTTCGGCACGCAGACGATTTAAAATGAAGTCTGCCTCATTTGAGACGCGAAGCACGTGGTCCCGAGTGGCGTGAGCCATGAGACGTCCTTAATCGAATATATCATAGCGTTGAAAGTATCAGAACGGGAAAAAGCAAGGGTTACTGGAAGATTCTAGCAAAATGGCAACTGGTAAAGTACGGATAATTTCATGGAAGATGATGGTTCTTCTTAAGCCACTGGTTGAGAGTCCCACATAGAACGCCTGGGCGGAGAGAGCAGGGGCATGGAACAATATCGCGCTGTAAAATCATGGAGAAATACAACTCCCTTCCAATTTTCTCCTTCTCTATGACTCCCTTCACAAAGTACTTTCCCAAAATTTTACCGTCTAGTAGAGCACTCTATTCTCCAAACAACTACCACAATAAACTACTGGAAATAATGGTTTAGTAAAAGTTTTGTGGCGCTTCCAAATAAGACAGGAGGGGGCGAGAGGGGAGGGTTAGTGGGGACGCTGCCAATGATGAACGCCTGAAACGAAAAAAATAAAAAACTGTCACGGGTGCATTTGCGACCCGCTCCCCTCCCTATCAGCAAATTACTGACAAGTGCCCCCACGTACCGTAACTCACAATCAGTCTGTTGGCAAATCCCAGATCGGCTCCCATCTAGACCATCCAAACCTTTGGTACCTCAGATGTTGGTCACCAAAAGTTATGTCTAACGCGTACGGAAGGACAAAAACATGTCCGTACTAGTTTGGCGCAAGTGACAAGTACAGTGGCTCAAAATCGATTCAACATCCCCCAAGTCATAGTATAGCCATCTCGTTTTTGAAATACCGCTGCAGTTCTGAGCGGAAATAAAGTGCGTGGCGAACGACAAAAATAGATTAATCAACGTCAAATGCTCTTTTCAAAGGTCGTACGGGGTCACAACTACTCCTCGAATGCCAGTTTTTAAACATGAAAAATAAACAAAACTGACCTTCGTTTACTAATTCAATGAAAGCAAGTCCAGCATGTTTCTGTAGAGACGTCTGCCATTCTTGTGAGCAGAGCAACATAACAAGCTCGATGACGGAACCTTGTCGATTCTTCAAAGTTTCCAGTACTGAAACACTCAAATTCCCCGCGTGATAGCTTACATAGAAACAAGCATGAGAAAGATACCTTTGCTGTCATTCATGATCTCCTGCCCATGTGTACCGAGGAGTGTTTTCTGGAAAAACGATCGGAAATCGCTCATTATTTCCCTCAAGAGTGGCGCGGTTGTTTCTAGCGCCGTTTGAAGTTTGCTGGTTAAGTACTGCCTTCGCTCAGCCGGTTGTTGAGAAGGAGCACTGTTCGTTGAAGCACCCAATTTCGACAGTTCTTCCGCCTAAAATCCATTTTATAAATACAGAAAAAGCTTGGTGGGTGAAATAAATATCTACCTTGTAGTCTTTCCCATCCTTCTTCACTGTTCCAGGAGCCACCATAATTGCTGAAATGCCTTCTTTATCCTCCTTGCATTCGTCTTCGCTCGCAACCTCTCCATTAGTTGTTGCTTTTTCTGGAGTGGGAGGCTTCGTGAGGTCCGCACCACCAGCAGTAGAAGAGCCGGGTGTGCTGCATTCTTCTAAAGCAAAGAAAAATATTAATGGTAGTAATAAGGACTGAATAACACAATATTTAACGCGATGGAAAAAGATCGACGCAACTCACCGTTATTAGTTGCAGAATTGAAGAAAGGACTGGGACTAGCTGGTGGTTCCAGAATGTCTCTATACCGGGACACCATTAATACCGAAAGGAGATAAACCACGGCCAACGCGAGAAACTGAGCTTGACGATTTTCCTCCTGAAAAGAAATACCATTTTGACCCAGTTAGCGTTGTTGTTCAAAAATCATATTCTCCTATTTCTGCTGGCGCTAAAAAAAATCAAATGCTGATTTTTCATTCTGTAACTACCGCTGATCGAGTCAAGCGACCACTTTAGCGATATGCTAAATGTTTCCGTGCGTATTCTTCTCATGTCTGAAGGCAAAGCTGGGAAGTTTTCTTTTGAGTGATAATTGGCAGGGAAATAAGAAATAGGGCTACGCGAGCTTCAAGTCAACCAAGAGCACGGACCAAAATTTTGAATGCTGTAGTATTCACCTGATACAAAGGACTAATGCGCGATGTGTTATCAGTAAACTTTCGGAGAAAAAGGTTCCGGAGGAGTTTGATCTACATAATTAAACTTCAGAGATTCCGCAAGCAAATGACCTACTCAGATTTTATTAGTAGCACGGGGTGACAGGTGGACATCTCGGCCGACCCTCTAAAGGTTAGCTCTTATCGTTCCCATGACGTCATCACAGTGTTTCACGACCCTGTGGACGAGTAGCTTCGGAAATGTCTTTTGACTTTCCAGGCTCTGGAGAAAGCGACGACGCCGAAACGTCAGCCGAATAAAGAATTATTAAAAATCTTGGTGCTAAGCTAAATCAGTGTGGTGACAGTTACTGAGGAACATGCCAAAGCCCGAAGTCGCATTCGGACGCAAGAGATCATATCATTTGGCGGTCTCTTCAAAAGAAAAAAAAGCTGGATTTCGAACTGAACAGCAAGGCACCTGCGAAAGAATCAAACCCTACTAAATAAGATACATATAAATACTGTATATCTTGTATGATTTTCACACTGTACACTTCAAACCTCAGGACAAACTCTAATGATTGCAGGACTTGGCATTCTTACCTCCCTGCTGTACAGACCCAAGGAAAACTTCCCACACGAAAACGAATTGTGTACTAAACTCTTCTGTGGAATACTTACCACCATGTCCCGATAAACAGCTCCCTTGATACGCTGCAAATCGATGTCCTGTAGAAGGCGATCCAGGTCTACAATCCCTTCTTTTCCTTGCTGAACAAGAACGAATTGCTTTTCAAGTAGCATCTTTATGTGCTCGCCATCACTCTTACCGACTCAATCGCTCCCTTGACAAACTCGTAGATAGCCTCGTTCTTCGTATTTGCATGAGGCTCAAACGTTTGACCGTTGCTATCCGGCCGCAGGACGCGGGCGGTGAGGATGTGTCGCACTGCTGCTGTCGAGATGAGACGAAGGACTTGACGCAGCACTCCCCCGGAAGGCATGTTTTTCTCCTGAAACAAAAGATCGTAGGGATACTAAAAAAATCGAATAAAAAATGAGGTACCTGTTCTAATTCAGCAAATGACACTCCACTAGCAAAAACGAAGATATCTGCCAGCTGCACGAATCGCGACAACAACGATGCAGCACACTCAATTGGAAGCTCCTGCTGACAAGCATCAGTGATCTCCAATTCGCTCTGAAATTCAGAGGAAAAGTGTGACAGAGCGGCCAAAACTGAAACCGAATTCTGGTTCCCATAACGTACATTAGGTGACGTAGCTGAAGCCAGAAGAGGAAGAAGGCCCCCACACGCCATAATAAGACTGTCGGCGAGTTGTGAAATGACATGGACAGTATTCCCAACGAAAATCTGAAAAATCGTTGGCTGCGGTCCTCTCCATATTTCGAAATAGTTCATATATGCGCAACATTTATCAAAGAGTTGCACTTGATTCTTTTCAAATATTAACCTGATTGTCATTCATGTTGCAGAGATCAGTAATGGATGGTGATTCTGATCTGAACAAGAAATCAGATAAACAGAAAAATCGACAATGACCTCATGAAACGAGACTAGGTTTAAGGAGCTCAAGTAGGAATACGTACATTTTCCACTCGTCAACCACAGTTTCAATTCCAGTCAGCAGATCGCCAAGTAGTCGAAGATGAACAGGAGACCAACAAAACTCTGGGGTTCGATAAATCGGAGTCGGCATCTCGTCCGTAGTTGCTGGTGACCTCAAAAGATGATGGTACTTCTAATACCTATTGAAGGGGTCTTAAGAGAAGGGATCTGAGCTGTAGAAAGCTCCAATTTTCGAGATGATATATGCTGTAAATCTACTCTTTCAAAATTAGTTTACGACTTTTCGCATGAAGCATGTCGTCTTCAAGATAGTGCAGTATTACCTCAACTACGGTATAACACAATACAGGCTACCAAATTACGTTAAACTTCCCGAAGATCACAAATTGATAGACAAGAAAACAGTTTCCGTTTTATTGCTAGTACCTCACGTACAGACTCTAGCACTTATTGTGCAGGGAAAAATACGCCCTTAATTGACCTTATGAAACTATCCTGGAAAGATTCTGAATGTGAGAGCATGGGAAGCTCGTTAAAAAAAAGGGGGGGGGTGACGAGGTGCCCATATTCCTCGCGTTAGTCTTGACCTGAACTTTCCTGTAGACCAGACCAAAGTGAAGCGATCTATTAGGCAACCAAAAAAGTTCGTGCGGTTTTTTTTTTGTTTTCTTTTATGAAGTATATTCAGTAAACTAGATCTAGTGG